CTGATGGTAAACGTATAAAGTTCTCAAAAATATTTTGGGTAATCTTTTGAACATGAGTAATAAATAACAAATGCTTGTGAATGATTTCAGCACGCATGATAACTGCATTTGGTTTCAAAACTAATGAAACATCCATTATGCAATTATACGTATATATAAAAAATGTTGTACCTATTATACATTAACATACAATTCAGAAGACACCTACGCCTGATCTCTCGAGTCATACACCTATAGGCTATGACCCAAACGTAATATATACTCAATATACATATGCTTCACCCAAAACTTAAAATTTTAGTATAAACTTTCAAATTTCCATCCATAAACATCGATATTATATAAATCCCTATCGTGACCCATTTGAACTCAAAACTAGACAAAAGTCATAGTTGCATGCAAATTATCTTAAATTTGTACCATATAAGATTTAAATATATCACTATATTATAATCACTATATTTTTTAACAAAGCATCTGCCTTTTGAGTCCTGGTATAGTCACACTCTCACAGACAACCTTCATGAAAATTTGTAAATGGAAACGGTTAGAAACTATCATTGGTGTTAAATTTTACACCAAACTACAATACTGCCAAAATTCTATTGTTTTTCATCTATTCTCCCTCACTTTTGGCGGCTATCCTATGGCCTATGTGTTGTTTTAATAACACAAATACAATTTGGTAGATGGGTGATTAATAATTATTTACTATAAATTGACTCATTAGAGTGTAATATAATATTAAAAAAAAAATGTAATGACTATAACGTGTCGATTTATATTATCTACCTACATAAATCGAAAGAAAAAAAGTCGAAAATTTAAAATACCTATACATAGCACAAAAAAATCCGAGTATAGTCAAGTAATTATAGGTAATATGATAATCCTGTACAAATTCCAAGTCCTTATGGTTTGATATTTACTTATGAGTAATAACAAAATAAAAATCGATTTTGTAACAAATTGGTTTTGCCTAGAAATTCCTGTTTTTCCCGGTTATTTGATAAATGTACTAAACATATTTTTCTTTAGACTCCCAGATTTTTAAACTATAGATTCAATTTGCTACAAGTAATCACCCTCAAAATAGAAGTTCAAACTTTTTTTCTAGCTTAAGTGTCTGACAATTTTTTTTTGTTAATTACTAGGCAAACTATAATATTTGACATCACACAAAAACTAACAAAAAATTGGAAATTAATGTGACACTCTCATTTAATATTGGTGATATATTGATGTATTTTGTGGTATCTAGTACCTAGATAACATGGGGATGATTTTTATCCAGTTTTTTTAAATTTTGAACTAAATACAGACATCATTTGTAGGTACCTATAATAGTCCACAAAAATATCTTCAGTAACACTCATTATTTTTGGACATCTCCCACTACCACTTACACTCTCCAACAATCCTCAAAGGCGTCATAAAATGCGAAGGTGTCAACATATTTCTCTCAAACTAATTGGTACCTAGCTCAAATCAATTAAATAATCAATTGGTTCTGAATAGTTCTATAATTTTATAGCCAATCTCATCATGCCATTCTGTTATTGTTGTTATATCATATTCATTATTCATCAAATTTACTTATATTGCGTAGGTAAAATAGGTAAGTAGGGGCATCTAAAATATTACCACCAGAACTATGATAACAATAATTATAATATGGCATGTTAAATGGCTATTTTTTTCTAGAAGAAGCTTATAACTATAATATTAATTGTTCATAAAGGTGTATAAAAAAAAATTAGTATTATTTCATTAGAATACAATATAGGTAGCAGAAATAATTTGTGAATTTGATATAGTAGGTACTAGGTATATATTGTATAGGTAATATATTAAACATAATATATAGACAACAATACAACATATCTATAATCGCCGATCTGAATTCTCCACTGCAACTCACTATCATACTTTAAACTATACTTTGTTCTGTGCACTATTATGGTCTACAGATGTGACTTATGAGCCCGGTTTTAAATAAACCTCGTCGGGTAAATACAATATATAATGATAACAAATTCATTAATTTTGTTAAAAATGCTAAAACAATGTTTATTAAATAAATAATTTTAATGTTTCATTATTTATTAATAAAGGTAGGTGTCATATAAGCTTTACATTCTATAGGTAATTTAATAAATTATAAATATTTAACTACCAATAACTATATAACTTCAAAAATATAGGCGTAACTAACCTTTGAATTTTGAGGGCATAAGTCTCACATATAAAATTGCATTTCATACGATAAGAACACAGATTTTTAGTGCATTATAAATTACTGTTTAATTCTTCAAGAGTAATTAAGTACCTATCTTATATTATAATTGGTTTGGGGCATAAGCCTAAACTTTAATAAATGCTACTCGATGTGCATTTATAGATCTCGTGAGCATATTCTATGTATATATTATATCAACAATAATAAACTTATCTCAGTAATAGTCAGTATTATCCATCAAAGACCTAGGTACAACCATAACCCATAATTTCAATTTTCAGGAACACATCGAGTGTAAAGTAAAAAAATTTCTCTCCGTGTATTTGGCTTTGTTAAACACCACTCGTCTGATTTTAAGGATTTGGAATCTTTTAAGTTACTGTATTATGCTTTGGTTAGATCAAACCACCTAGTGTATGGATTACTTATCTGAAGTCCTTGTACTAAATCCAACATCGACCCTATTGAAAGTGTTTAAAACCGATTTTTAAAGTTCATAGCGGTCAAATTCTATATAACTGTCATCCAACATGATTTTTCGTCCATAAGATCTCTTCTAAACCTTCCTATTCTAGTTTCTAGACGAGTCTAAGCTGACAAATCTTTTCTATATAAATTAATAAACAACAACATTGATTCCCCTTATTTATTACAAAATATTCAATTTAACATTCCAGCCTATAATAATCAAACCACACCCATGTTCTACTTGCCATCACACAACGCAAATTATTTTTAAAAAAAACTCTCCAATTCCAAGAGCTAAGGCCTTGTGTAATAAACTTGCTCCCGAGTCCCGATGTTGATTTCTTCTTTCCTCGATTAGTCTTAATTCATAAAATATACTTAACTAACAATAATATGTAATACTGTATTTTATATTCCATTTGGTTTATATTCTAGCTTATTAATATTAAGAAGTTTATTGTTATATATATATATATTAATTTATTGTAACAAATTATCTAATACCTGTAATATTGGGCACTTGCTCGTTTTTATTAATTTGAATAAACAATTATTATCATTATAACATATAATTTAAGTGTTTGTCTATTTTCCTCTCTCGGAAAATTATCTAGTGAACATTTCTACATTATTTTAAGGTAAGAATAACAAATTAATTCATAATTAATTAATTGAATTCTAACTTTTCTTATATATTTATATACTGTTGTAATTTAGTCTTATATCATATTATTAAAAATTAATGGATTGTCCAACTGTGCAATTAAAGATAATTAGTTTATGTAGGTCATAATTAGGCAATTATAGTCATTAAAAATATCAAGTATTGTTTATATTATTATTTTAGAAATTCTAATTAGACCAATTTATTTTTTATTTAAATACATATTTGTTTTATAATTATGTGGTATTTTGTATAATTAGAAATATGTATGATCAGGTATTAAAATAGTGTGTTAGAAATCTGCGTCTCACTTACCCTATAGTGTAAGATATATGAAGAATTACTTTTTTTATTACAACAATGCAATTATTTATATTCTTTAAACTTTAAAAAGAACCAACTTACAATTTAGGAATAATTACTTGTATTTAATATTATTTATGATCAAAAAAATCTAAATAGTAGGCACAAAGCTTTCAATATTTGATGTCTCGTTTTAATCTTAGGTACCCTTATGTCACCACTACAACCTATAGACGGCAGTCAAGTAATTGAAAAAAATACAACAGGTTGATAGATATCGTAATTTAATAATTATTATTAGGTAGGTAATAGTATAGTCATTAATTTGGAATGAATAGGTAATTCATTCATTTTCACCATATAGATATTATTTTTATTATAAACGCTTAACAATAATATTATTATCCAAGTATGACTTAGATCATAAAACAATAATACCTAGGTATAAGTAATAGTATATATTATATTATAATAATAATAGTCATATCTATATTATAACTGTATAACCTGTATAAATTATCGTGAGCGTTATCTCTATGGACAGTCACGACCGCGACGTACCTATAGCGATACATAATTTTACGAAAAATATCTCAAAACCGTACGACCGCCGACAAAAGCTCTGCACGTGAGCAGGCTCTCAAGGTATAACGTAAATGAAAATATAATAATAATAATAATAATATTTACGTTTGTTTTCAAGCTATCGACGAGTCGTCACACTGCACGCACGGTAAACAGAAAGCGGAGTGAAAAAAGGACAGTACGCAAACGAGAAGTGAGACAAGGCTTACAACACGTGGTACACACGCACAACACGCAGTCAGACAACTAAAAATAAACAATCCGAAGGCGGCACTATTTTTTTTTTTCGCAACTGAGTTACCTATGTACAATATAATAATATAGTAATAATAACAGTATGATATGGATAATATATTATTTTAATATTACATAATTTTATTTCACAGCTCGCGATCGCGCAATGCAGACGAGTAAAAGTGTCGAAAGTAAAAAAAACAGCTTGGACACCGGTAAAAACGTAAATATTTGATAAACGTCGGTGGCGACGCGTAAGTGGCGTACAATAATACACGACGACTCGGACGGAGGACACGGTGCACGCGCGACGACCGGACGAGACGAACTGAAACGCCGCCGTCGCCCCGCGCCCGTCGGCCGTCGCCACTGATGCTGCCGCCGCCTAAGGAGAACCTCATTGCACCGCGCGCCGGGTGTCCGGTTCATCGGCTGCGGCGGCGGCATGCCAACAACGCGGTGTTCCTCACCGCCGCCCCCACCACCGCGCCAACGACCTAGTCGAGGATGGCCGGGGTTGTTAGTCGTCGACGCAATTGTTGTTGTCGTAGGACCGATCAGCGTCCTCCGATCGAGAGAGCTCGAGAAAAATTCCTGAGCATCGGTCGTCGACGTCGTTTCTGGAACTCGGGACGTGCCCGATGTTCGTCGGAACAAGGAGATGCGCACCGGAAAACTCGAAACTTTCGTCTAGGTGAACCGCACCAAGATTTTCCGCACAATTCTTCCAATATTTTCCAAACGATGGGGTAAAGGATATTATGATGTTTTTGAATCGACTTCATCGGGTTCGGAGTATGATCACGCGGGATCGAAAACTATTGGTCCTGACATTTAGTTCTCCCGAAAATCAAATCTAATATTAGATCGAAAAATACCTATACTTAAGTGTATTGTTATATAAAATGTAGTGGGACAGTGGGCGATGTTTAGTGTTTTGTACACTGGCATGACATAATAATATTACGTATATTATTATTATTATTATTATTATTATTGTTAGGCATCAGGCATGTTATAATATAATAGTATGTGGAATTTACCAGATAGATAATTGTACAGAGTAACATATTCCTATGAACAATATTATTGTTTTTAAAAAATATCAGTGGCGAAACGTCATAGGAGACAAAGAGACAACGTCTCCGCACTTAGAAATTAGAAAACGGGACGAATAAAAAATTATTTTGTTTTATAAAATATTTACAAATGTGAACTTTATTTTATATTATAAAATAGTATCCAAAACCCGGCCCCGCCTGATTGTTTTTATTTATAACCATACCCCCTCGATTATAAATATACTCAATTTTATTTTGTTCAATAATACCCCCCTCACAATCGCTATGGATCAGGTCGATGATGGCATATTTTTTTTATGTGCCATTTCATATGTTCAAAAAAAATATCTCAAACATATAAATAAACACACTAAATATACAAATTAATAAAATATTAATTATAACAGTATATGCACAAGATATAATAACATAATATGTTCAAATTATCAAATAAAATAAATTAATAACGGAGGTCATCAGTGAGTAAAAAAAAATTTTTTTATTCCTTTACATAAATATACATAAACTCATAAATATAAATATATGAAAATAGTTAAATTTTTAAACCCAAAATTACAAAATTATTTATTTATTCATTTGAAGAAAATTGAAATACCTATTTTAATGATTTCGAACAACATGGCTGTTCGTTGTCTTCAATCTCGTCATTTTTCATTTTATTTGTATTATTTGTATTAATAATTTCTTTAGATAATAACCATTTATTTTTTCAAACCTATGTAAGAAACATAATTTAAATACATTTTGAATAATATAGTGAATAAATATATCATTTACTTTTTTCTTTTTCAGTTATTGAACTGTATGTAATGACAGATGTAGGCAATAATCCAATATATTTATTATTAGAATATTCATTTATTTTTCATCTTTCTATTTTAATAATACTTCTACTTTCTCCCACAAAATGTTCAGCTTCTTCGATCCATAATATCAAGATTACCTATTTGTGAAATAATTTGGTCATCATTATTTTCTTTTCATTTAATAACGATATATCTATAATATTCTAGTTTAATACAGTTTCTTTTGAGGAGTCAGCCAATATTATATATCTTTTAGTAAGTTTTTTTTTGTTTTTTTTTTGAAAATAAGAGAATTATATAATTTACTTCAATGACTCCAGCTATAGGTAGTATCTGTAAATAGAATAATATAAATTAATTATAAATAATATAAAATATTATTCGATTTGGTTTATTATTTTTATATACTTCTTACTTATTATTGTTCCAATTTCTATATTTTTTATTGTGTTAAAAAATTCCATTTCTGTATCATCGATAAAAGGGGTCTTCATTATGATTAGTTAATCTAAAAAGAACCATTCTTTTAAATTATATAACATATTATTTTTTAATATATTTACATTTATACTTCTGAAATATTCGGATTTATTTGTATTTTGAATGAGCTGTTAATGTTAGATTTTTTTCATAGTGATATTCTATCCGGTTTCGACATTTTTTATTGATACAATATCATTTTTTCTGCTTTAAATTCGTCTACGATTTCGTTCCATAAGTTCAAAACAATCTATAATTTTAAATTAAGTTTAATTTAATTTATAAATAATTAAAGTAAGTATAAATTCTTTATACTTTATTATCTTTGTTGTCAATTAAAATTATTTTTCTCAAATTCCTTTTGAATTGTGCTTATTTTTTCGGTTTTTTTTTATGTCATGGATTTTAGTGATAATATCTGAATGAAAAATTAATGTCTATTATCAATTACTAATTCATAATGTCTCATAGACTTACCAATTATGGTATTTATTGAACTATTATATATTGATTTGAATTTTTTGAAATCATATGTTTTCTGATCTTGACTTGAACAGTTTCTAAATTCATTTTCATTGATATTATTTCCTTATTTTTGCACCATTTTTCGAGACTGAAATGATCGTAAATTTGTTATTAATTGTTATTTATTTATAGTCATTCATAGTGACTCTTTTTGTTCTGGTATTTTATGGCTTATAATAACAATAGTTGATCGAACTAAATTTAAGTTTTTAATATTATTGTCTTCATCAATTTTTATATTTTTCATAGCAATAATATCACCTTTTTCATCTTCAAAATGTTAATGATATCTGTAAAATTTTATCAGTATTATTCCATAAAATATACATTTATGTTATTTTATTTGTAAATCTTATTTAATATCACCTTAGATTATGAATCATGAATAAGAATTATATCTTGTCTCTTTAATTGTAATCCATTTTCTGTTGATATTTGTATTCCTTTTATACTTTTGATGATCTCTATTATATCTGAAATGGGAAAATATCGATTCATCTGTTCATTTTTTATACTTTTGAAAATAATATTTGAAATACCTTTTAAAGAATTGATTTTTATATTAGCTAAATCTTTTATTTTAATAAAATTGAATTCAATTTTTGCTATATTTTAATCATCTTTCGATTCTATAATTTTAAAGTTTTCTGTTAAAATTATTTCAAATTCATGATCTAAATCATTAAATTTTTTATTTGTTTTTTTCACGAAACCGTCAGTTATAATGTATATTTGTTGTATTTAAAAATTATGGATTATTAAGGTATCATTTCATACTTGTTATTACGATTTTACACATAAACAAAATAAATATACACAATACCTGAAAAATATCATAAAATGTTTTAGAATTATCACCGAATGTAGCTCATCTTATTTCTCCGCTATTATCGATAATATCTAAATTGAAGATTTTAGTTTCATTTCCATTTCTTTTGAATTTTCTGACTGATGTTTTGTTTTGAATTCGTGCCGTAATTTTCCAACTGTTAAATTAAATTATAATATGTTGAGTAATAAATATGAAATATTGTTTATTTATTATTGTTTTTACTTTTTTATTTTATACTAATTTAATGTTATATTATATTCATTATTTGTTCATTTAAATGTTGATTAAATATTTTTTTACCATTGTTAAAAGTTTTTTCTATTTACTACGTTAGTATGGTTGAATGCAGCCGACATTAAATATTCAATATTCGACCAAATGTACAAAAATGATTGCACCCAATCTCAATGAAAACCTTGCACATTGAAACCTAGCACATTTAAAAAGTCACCTTACTCGTATATAAAAAAATCAAAGAGATGAATTTGTTGAAGGTATTCATACACCATTCACTTATTTTGGTAGTAAATGGTCGTCATTCCCCGTACACCTCGAATATTATAATCTTATATCTATAAATTATAATTGTTTTGGTTTTGAAAAAATTTGGCTTATAGTAAATAAAGAAGATTCTACCCGCCTCCATCAAGTAGTGAATAAAATACTAAACACAACTTTTCCGGGCCGTTTCTGTGAGAACTTACATGGCCATAAATTATTTATTGTCACAGAAAATTCTTTAGACAAATATAAAATTAATTATACAAAAGTTATACAAAAACCAGGAATCTTCATGATACATCCATATTCATATTCACATCCATATTCGTTTCATGGAGGATACGTCTTGGACCAAATGTTAATGAAGCTGTTAATTATGCCAATATACAATGTATTAAATATTTTGCAAACACCATTGTATGTAATTGTGATGGGATCGTGAAATTGAATGGATCTAAAATTATTAAAGAATTGAATGAATCTTTTAATGAAAAAAGTTCACCTGATGATCCAGACATCATAATTCATAAAAAAAATTTCGTCGAAAGATAAGATTTACGAAACGGAAGAATGCAATTAAGTACCTGTACAGGTATTATTTATAGTATTTATGTATAATACCTATTTGATTAGGTATAATTTATTTTATAAAATAAGTTTGTACACAGAATTGGACTAGTATTCGTACGAATATATTATGTTTGGATGATGTGGTTCATTTTCAAGTTTCTATAAAACACTCAAATATTAATGGAAAAATAAATAAGCTATTATACAAATCAATAACTTTAATATATACAAGGACCAAAATATGATTTTGAATACGAACATTTAAAGTTTAATTATTTGCTAGTTTGGATATTTCTTTTTATTTGAGCACATACATTATACTACGTACTTTATATCCACAAAGTCTTTTTTCAATTTCAATTTCAATATATAATTTTACATACAATATACATGCATGAAATATTTTTGAAATATGCTCTGATGATGAAATATTACCAATATACCTTGTATTAAATCATATTTTCTCTAGTACTATTTTAGTTAATACTTGGAAAAATGTAATCAAAAAATAATATCTCATTTTGAATCTGAGCGAAGCGATGATTTTTACAATGATTTGTGCTTTTTTATTCTTTGAAATTTGTCTGAAATAGTGAAATCATAGTTTGGGGCAGTACCATTTTTTATTTAAAATTATTTTGTACTAGTTACCAGTTGGTATTTAATTTGAGACATCATAACTCAAAAGTAAAAGAATCCCAGAACTTTGCAAAGTACTTGGTAGAAACTTAAGTAAATAGTGGAAAAACGAGTATATTTACCCAACACAAGTTTTTGACAAAATATTTATTTTTTTTGTAATACAATATAAAATAATCCTAGAGATTTGAAATGTTCACAAAACGGGTAAATTAGAATTTATAAAAATATTTTTGTTTAAATTTTGCTGTTTTTGAGTCATCTACGTATTTTTAATTTTCTATTTTATTTTCATTTACATTCATAACATATTTTGGT